ACATAGAGAAAAAAACACCATAGCGACACACAAATTTATGTGGTTCGACAAAATTGCCTACGTCAACGGAGCTGCAGAGGATTTTATTTATTTGAGGAATTACGTCGTCGAGCATCTCGACGTTTACAAGAAAATCTCTCCCTTCCTCTCTCTCTCTTCCTCTCTTTCTCTTAGCTCTCAAGCTTACTTGGCTTGGTCTTGCTTGACTTGCTTGGTTTGCATTTCTTTTAAACCAAAAGAGACTATTTATAGAAACCATGAGAGCGGTAGGTGGGAGGTAGGTGAGTGATAGGTGTGATGTGGTAGGTGAGCGGTAGGTGGGTGTGATGGGTGAGCGGTAGGTGAGATACTTAATTAAAAAGCTAATTAAATTCGGTGGACCGAGTCTCCACATTACCCAACAGGTTGATCCGATGAACTATCATCTAATCAATCTTGCTCAACCTCAAATTTTATATCTTTTTTTTTAACTGCCACCAAAATCATTAATCTATGCTAATTTATGTCAAAGCTGGTCTGATTTGTTATGTTTGGCTTCCCTGGTAACAAAGAAACCAAATGGCTTCATTGAGAAGTTATCTATAAAGCTAAGCATATATTTAGATCCACCCTTTTATTCAATACTGAGAGGCTCTAAAAGTCAGAATAAATATAGTCCAAAATACCTTTGATTCTGAGAACTCTGGTTGGGAACTTTATTCTATAATGCTTTTCCAAAAATATAACACTCATAAGACTTCAAAGCTTAGTCTTCTAACCAATAAATAAGCCACTCTTGCTCAACTCTGATAGGCTCTACCATGACATAACCCAAGCTTTATTTCTCATTGTTGATTCAGATTATTTGAGGAAAAAAAATTGAGGTTGCACCTATTTTTATGTCGCCCTGGAAGAATTACAGGCTATCTTCTTTCTTTTCTGGCATCAAAATTATGAAACTTTTATAAATATGTAATACACTTTTAGCATTGTATTTACACCCAATGAAGCCCTTAAACCCCAAATAGATTATTTTCTTAAAGTTGGATTATATTTGAATTCTCCCACGGTCCTCACAATTCTATATGTGTCGTATCTAAGTTATCCTTGTTACAATAGTATTTCAAGTCATGCATTAATGCATTGCCCCTAAGGGCAAGTATAGCATCAAAATATTATTTCTTTCATGTGTTATATGATATAATCAGTCAGAATCAATGATTCAATCGGTAGCAAAGGAAACACAATAATCTAAATGTTTTTTTTGCTCCTATTATGTTGATATTGCTTCAAGGCTAGACTTATGTATTTGATTTTCTTCTCCTTTAACTTTTCTTACAATAATTTGCTTCAAAATTTTCATTGTTCATGAGCACAAACCTTTCTTTTTTGTATTTTATAAGAAAATTTGCTAGATTCAAAAGTATCTTTTTATAGCCTCTCTACAAAATATTAGCTTATATTATGCAGGATTAAAGGATTATTCGTAGTTATTTGTAAGCATGTAAATGTTTTTTATGTGAAGTTCACGTAGTTATTGCTTTATATTAAAATAATTGATACCTGACTTTATTACGTAGAGAGATTACAATTTTTCTATCTATTCTATATGGTATTCTAGTATACTACATTATGGAAAATCTCATCTCTCAAATGGTGGCTTATTAAATCGATAGCTTTGGGATCCATCTCTTTTTTCTCATTTTTCTATTCTTGGGAATCCTTCCTTTTCAAAATTAAAGGAAAAAGAGAAATTTACATTCGTTGCACTCAATTCTTATGTATTTACAAATCTCACTCCTTACACTCATTGCACCTTGGTGCTTTAAGCCCATGCATGAAAAAGGTATATTTCACTTTTAAAAAGTGATAATAGTGCTATTTTTTATGTGCCATCTTTTTCATTTTTCAAATATAAGTCATAGCTCCCATTAAACTTCTCAAATTTGTATTTGATACTGCTGAAAATAGCTTTACCTGTTGGATGACACCATCTCCTATGTGTATTTAAGCTTTGGTTATTACTACAGAAGACTCGAATCTTTTTTTTCCTTGTTTACTCCTTTATTTATTCATTAAAAAGATTCAAGTCCTTAGGATTTAATATAAAAATTCTACTTTTGGTCATTGTTAACAGTTGATCACAGGAATATTTTCACTCCTTCAAACTTAGGAGCCATCAGAAATTGTGTGTTATGTCAAAGGTGTGACTTTTATACTGGGAAAGGAGGCTAGCTACTGCCCACTGCAATTTGATATATCATGGCCAGGCCTTCAATCGAAGCCAATGACAAGTGCTTCATTTTCCCAATCCGAATGAAAATCTGAACGAGAAGGCTGAACCAGACTGAGATCTATAATAGCTTCAATGTATATTGTTGAAATCTATAACAGCTTCAGTGCTCAAACTTTTTTGTGAAATAGTTGATGGGCAACTGGCATGCTGGTCATAGTGCCCTTTCTTGAAGGTTTGTGTATGAAGCACATCAAATATATGTGCATAAGCATTGAACTCAATATTTTAAAGTTAGAGATAAATTTCTCAATCACTAAACTAAATGAGTTAACAAAACAAACATACGCACATATACATGTATGCATGTAAAATAAATTACTCAAAAACAAATATGGTATGACAATGCTCACATTCTGATGCAATGTTGATAAATTTCATTTATATTGCAAAAGAAATAACAAATATATCCTACAAATATTGAACTTTAAAAAAATTAAATATTAAAGATATATTTTGTTAATACTTTTTAAAATTAAAATATCTTTATTATTCTTTAACCATTCAATAGTTTTATCAATCTAATATTTTTTGCTTTTTTCAACACAGAAAAAGTTAAAACTCATTGTGGACCTTTGATAAAACCAGGGCTTCAGTAGTAGAAACTACTCATATTTATAAAAACTAGTCTAAACCAATTACATAATGAGTTAAATTGAAAATCCTGAGATAAAAGCTCATGATTTTCATTCTTTTACTACTAGTCTGCATAATAATCATTGGAGGAGCAAAAATGTGTATATCCATTTCCTCCTAAAAATAACTACTTCCTTATAACAAAATAAATGCCACTGCCTGCTTCACAGTAGCAAGACAACACAGCTAGAGTAGAACTCCATTGTTGCTTTGTATTACTTGCAGCCTCTCAAAGAACCTCTTTTATATATATATATATATATGGGGCATTAACGCGCATACTATCCAATTCCCATGTATTTACATCTAACACCTAAACATTACTTTTTGAATTTCTACAACAAATCTTTCATATCACATAAAAAATATCACTATTTTAAATTTTTAAAAGAGAAATACACCTTTTCATATATGATTAAGATAACATAAACGTAAGTGTAGGTGTTAGATATGTAAATACATAGGAACTAAGCTGGAAGATCTAAGTTCCCAGCGGCGAAGAACTCTTCAGCTTTATCCAAGAAGCAAGTAGGGAATCTCCTATGTAGCATGAAAGCAGAAGATGCATCTGAAGTAGGTAGATTATGCATGAAAGCCCATTCATCACAAGTTTTTGCTTTTTTATTATCTCTTTGAACCCTACATTTCATCGCTCTAGTGCCAGCAGTCACTCCCTTTGAAGACAAAGTTTGCCCACCTTTACGATTTGGCCGCGAGGAACTATCACCATGGATCTTCTTAGCGTCTGGAGCTGATGAAATGGAATCAGATGAAGAATTTGTTGTGTTAGAATCTGGTGGGGAGGAATCAAAGTGGGAGGTGAGTAAGCTGTGCCTGCAGGATCTCAGCAAATTGAGAAGCATTTCGATGCTTAGTTCTTGTTGGATCACACCCTTGTTTTGCTCACATCCATAGCAAGCAGCCACAAAGGTGCCAGCCAAGATGGGAGTTAATTCAGGATCGCTGAAGAAGACGAATGGGAGATCACAGATCTGATTTGGCAAAACTAAGATTAGAATGGGTTTGCCCTCAAAAGTTGCTAAATTTGCTTGGGAAGGACTTACCTTATGAAGAATCGTTGGAGGTTTTCCCCAGCGAAGAACAGCTTGGTTTCCAGAATGGAACAAGGAGAAGTAGCCCAGCAGGAGCAATGATTCCAGCAGAAGAAAACCAACCTGAGAAAATTGAGCATTAGCATCCTTCTGAACATTTCATGATTCGGTTAAAATTTGAAGCATGATATAATAATGGAGAAAGTATCAACATGTCCCCTAATTATTTGGAGAAGGCTACTTTAGTCCCAGACTTTGAGAAACTGTCAAAATGGTCTCCCATTTTTTTAAAAAAAATAGGTGTTCAAAAAGTTTCCCAGTTAAAACTTATAAAAGTTAATATTAAAGGTATTAAAAAAGGGAGAATTTATATTTTCACGTTTGAATGCAGTATAGGTTATTTAATAGGTGTGAGATAGTTTCATAGTTAAAACTGATGGAAATTGATATCTAGACAAAAAAGGGGGAGCCATATTGGCACTTTCTCAAATTCTGGGACTAAAATGGTTCTCAGCAAATAGTCAGCAAATTATTTTAGCACTTCTCTCTGTAATAATTTGAATACAGTAAAGACTTATACCACATATCACATAAATGTGCATGTAGTTGTTGGGTAGATTATAGGACAAAACGTTATATAATATGAGGATTTCATGCTATGGTCACATTTCACACAGTTGATACAAATGTATGCAATAATGTTACACTGGAGTGTCAAATATTATGCCATATTCAAGCATAGGCAGTTACAAATTTTAACAGCAGCAACTCATGATGAGCGGTTTATGAATTCAAGTACTAAAATTTCTACCAGAAATTGGAAGAGATTCAGAAGATAATTATGGATAACATGATAAAGCAAGATGAACAGAATGGCCTAAATATCCTAAATACCTTGTCATTAGCTGATTTCCATCTGCTTGTACAATGAGATAGTAGGAAACTCATTAAGTGGAAGAATTCCATTCTCAAATCTGATCTTGCCTGTTGAAGATAAAAGCGTATTTAGAAATAAAAATCCTAGAAATATAAGCATCTATGATATTTGGCATCATTTAGTGCAATAACCCCAATCAAAGGGAGAATTAATGTAAACATCAAACTAAAAGTGTTTTTATGTATTTGGGAACACTTAACGAAAAAAAAAAAGAGGAAGAGTTACATACAAAACACCCTATTCTTATGTATTTATATATCTAACAGTTAAACTTTAATTTTACCATGCATGCCACCTTCCCTATGCAGTAAATCACTTTTTAAAAGGTAAAATGGCAGTATTTTTCATGTGATATGAAAGATTTAGGTGGTATTGATTTAAAAATTAAACTTTAGATCTTAGATAAGTAAATACATAAAAATTGGCTGGTATGAATGTAAATGCCCAAAAAAAACTAAAATTGTTTGTGCATATGTGGGGATGGGGTTGGTGAGAATTGTTTACCAGCATTTTCTGCAAGAGAAAAATATCCAAGCATGCCAGATTGTTCAAAACCCTCAATACACCAATAGCAACCTCTTCAAAATTGGAGGGGAGAACATAGGAGGCCTGAAGCAAAAAATAAATAAATAAAATCACCAAATACAAGTTGAACAACTTTTACTACTAGCAAGTTCCCTGTGAAATGTGTGGGAAGATATTTTATTTTATATTTCCATAAATAGAAATATAATAAGTTTAATAAGATGATATTAATACAGAAATGATTAAGCATTGAACTAAAATAAATAATTAAAACATTTTTTAATTGAAATAAAATGAATAAAATTTGTAATTTTTTAAAAGGATTTCCTTGCAGTTGACTAATATTGAATGAATCACCCGCTTATGAGATTAAGCAAATAAATTCTCAAAACGCAAACTTCTTGAGTTATTTTCTGAATGAAGAAAGTATAATTAATATAATTATATCATGATAAGTATTGATTGAAAAAATCATTTAATATTTGTGTAGTATTTATACAATTCTAGAAGAGCTTTTAATTGGAAACATGTAAAATCAGGAAATTATAATTACAATATTCTAAGAATTGCTGAGGTGGTACTAATAATCTCATGGAACATTAAGCTGGAATGAGCTGAATAAGATAGAGAATTGTTGGGCTCAATTGAACATTGATGGAGGTGGGATTGATAGAGATTGATTTTTGCAAATCACCTCCCAAGAGTTTACATGTCACTGAAATATTGTCCTAATAATCTTTCGTTGAGAATGTTTGCAAGTTGTACATCCATTTATGGCAATGAATGGAGTGCAGATTAAACCACTATTTAGTTTATCATTTATAAATTTTTATCAACTTCAATATATTTTCTCAATCAAATTGTAAGGGTGTACGGGATTATGTGCAATATTAATGCTCGACTTATTAGCTCAATAATTTTATTCGACCTTTATATTCAACTTTCATTTTTTTAAAGTGTAATTTACAAATTAACAATCCACAAATTCCTAATGCCCAGGCCGTAGATCTAAATTCAACTTTATGCTAGATCTTATCATAATATTTTATTTTTTAGGCATTTACATACATAACACACAATTCTTATGTATTTACGTATCTAAAATCTAAACTTTAATATTTGCATTCATAACACTCAAATCTTTAAAATCAGATCAAAATACCACTTTTAATAACTTTTTAAAAGCCAAATGCACCATTTATGCATAGATTTATAGCATCAGTGTTATAAATATAAAGATGAAATTTAGGTGTTAGATATGTAAATCCATAAGAATTGTGTGGTACATATTAAGATTTCCCTTTCTTTTTTTAAATTATTCAAGTCATGAAGTTGCCCTTTGCGAATATGCAATATCCACCAAGTTGATTTCCAATCAATCATGAACCCCACATAATTGGCATCTTTATATGCATCTAGTTTCATATCACCACCACCCCC